ATCTATCTATCTATCTATCTATCTATCTATCTATCTATCTATCTATCTATCTATCTATCTAACTAACACCTATCCTTTCTGAAATCTAGTGCCCATAACTGAATACAGTATTCAAAATGGTTCTGACCAGGATAGAACCAATACAGCTCATAATCTTGATTCTTTGTTCCTCTTAGATAGTACTCTCCTTTTAAGCAGATGCATCACTCTGCTGGCTCCTAATTAAATGCTTGGATGGGACTCATAGGAGATACCAGAAAATCCCAGGGCAGTAGCCCAGAGATTTAAAAAAAAATCCTCAAAGGAGGGAATGTTATGGATGTGTCATGGAAGTCATCAGGAGTGGCCTGTTGCTTGAAAGTTGGCCTTTGCTTTATGCATTCTTCTTTTTTTTTAATGACTGCAATTTTCATGCAACTTCATTGTTATCCTCTTTGGTTTAGCAACACTTTTGGGGGGGAAACGATTGATTGACTGATCCAGATGGAAACGCTTGAGGAGGATTGTTCTCAGTGGTCACAGTGTGGTCATGAGCTGTTTTGTCACTTTAGACTGCAGGACATGGAATAATCGATTTAAATTAGAGGAGGGTGGGTTCCAGCTGACTATTTCTAATGCTAGGAGCAACGTGATTACGGCTCCTCTTCTCTAGTCGTGTTGAAGCACAGGCTGAACCAGTGCATGTCAGGGTTGCGCAAATGTGGATTTCTGCATTGAGTCAAGGGGCGGACTCCGTAGCCTTAATGGTCTGGTCCGAGGCTATAATTTGCGATGAAGGCAGCACTGAAGCATCTTCAGAGGAGTTTTTGAAAAAGGTAGGCCATGGTGGCTGATTCATCCATCACCCCGAGTGATCCATTTTGCTCCTGAGAGCACTTCTTCCCGGCTGTTTGAGTGTGTGTTTTCCTCTAGTTCTTGATTTGACAGAAAATTATGCCAGCCTAATTTGCATTGCCCTAAAACTTGAGTTCTGATATATCCCAGCGATCAGGTTGGTTCTGTCCTCACAGCTTTACCAGGGGACAGTTTAAGGACAGTTATCAATGACTCCCCTGTTTTGTTTTCTGTCTCATCCGGCTGGTGGGGGGAAAAATGCTACCAATTGCTTTCTTGAGCAGGCAATGGGTGGGGCAAGTCTGCATGGCTGAGTGGGGGGCCTGGAAGAAAGACTTACTTAGACTCCTGAGTCAGCGACGGTCATAAAGCAGGGCATCATGTAACTGACCCGATTTTATCACCTTTTTTTGCAGTGGTCATTAAACGAATGCAGCTGTCATTAAGTGAACATTAGATTCGCTAAGCAAACCCATTATTTGCTGTGGGCTGTTTTGTTTTTTAACCAGAAACTAGACATAAATGTCATTTCCAGCAAAAATGTTGTAAATTGCAGTCAGGTAACGATGGGATGTTGCAAATGGCCAATGTAGACGGGTTGCTGAATGTCCAAAGTGTGGTCATGTGACTGTGTGGGGAGGGTGGCCATTGGGACTTCAGAACTGGGTCATAAATACCCAATTTTTGTAAGATCTGTTGTAACTGAGTGGTCGTAAGTCAAGGACTACCTGAACTTTCAAGTTGCCCAGGTGACATGTTGCTGGCATGGAGGTGCTTCATGCATGGTCACTCTCACAGGCTATTTCTGGACATGGGGTCTGCTGGTCTTCTGAAAGACCTCTATAAGTCTGTGTCCAACAATCATCCAGGTCAGGGAAGGTGGAGTAGGGGAGGGCTTCTGGGGTGGTGGAGGTTTGGTAAGGAGCATCGGGGTGTTCCCTTCCCTTTATGCCTCCAACTGTACCTCTGATCTGGAAATTGGCAGAACTCTGTGATCAGTTTCATGCCAGCTTCCAAATTCTGCAAATCAGTAAATGTTGCAATAGAATAATAAGGCTGGGAGGGAGGGAGTGTGGCCAGCAGCACCCAGAAGTCTCCTATAGAGCACACAAAATAATGATGATTGAGTAGGTAAATTGGCACCACTGTCCCCTCCAATGATAAAAACAGCACAAAGCGCAGCCAGACAAAAGTTGCAGAAGCAGCAGAAAACCTGCAGTGCCCTCATTTGGGACACAACCAGCAAAACACGGGAGGCAGAACCCAGTTCTCTTTCCCGATTGAAATCCCTTTTTCTACGCAGAGAGTGCGAGTCTGGTTTTTGTTTTGTTTTGTTTTTTAACTCAAAGCCCACCGCTCTTCCAAAAGGCCACTAAACACATGTTTAAAAACATCCCAGTGTTCTTCCACCGGACCCATTCATATAAGGACTTCACGTAAGGTCAGGGTGGCACTTTGCAACTGGACGGAAGGTGGCCAGTAGGGGCTCCAGATCCCAACCCCTGGTTGTACCGTCGCTATCATTGTGATTGAGTCATCATCAACGTTCATGCGGCAAGACTTGTGCTGAGAGAAGAACAGGAAAGACATTAGCTTTTAAACCAGGACAGCTCAAGTTGGGTGCAGTCTACCTTTGAGTGGGCTGGGGATGAGATGAAGCCTGCATCATGAGGATGTGCCCTCTAAAAATACTTATTCGGGGTGTTTTGTGCCACGAGCATCATTTCCTTTGCCTCCTTGGTGTTCTTCAGCCGATTCTCCCTTTGATTGGATGGTTTCAGCATTAAGTCTCCAGTTCAACAAACAAAGAGGCCAACCAGTGCCATTCCCTGTGCATTTTTATGGTGCTAAATGTTTCTAGAAAGACTGTAAGCTCCTTTTGACCCTTTAATAAGGGTCAAATAATAACCTCCTGTAGAGTAGATTCTCTCCCCCATAGACGACCCTGCCGTATAGTCTAGCAGCTCTGGAAATTTTCTTAATTGCTGGAGAGTCAGTAAAATGGAGCAATATCATGCCATCATTTTTTCAGGGACCTGACATCTGAAAAATTACATGCAATCATTAAGCAATCTGTGCAGTTTAGGAGAAACATAATTATTTACACCAGGCTAAGTACAATGGTGGTAATCTGAGTTTGGGACCTCAGAATATCACTTCTGTACTTCTGGATTTTGACCAAAGTTTTAATCCGAAGAAAAGATCCAGGCCTATGCAATCAACAGACCACCAATCCAATAAAGTCAGATTCTAAAAAAAACCTGAGAAATGTCTTCTTAATGACACTAAGTGTATTTAACTGCTTCTGGTGAGTGATCCCAACAGGCTTGTTATCCCATCAACTTGGCATAGAATTATCTGGAAGTTTAAGGCCACCCTCGGAATACTGCATCCAATTTTGGTCACCAAGAGACAAAATAGGCCCTAGAAAGAGTGCAGAGAAGAGCAACAAAGATGATAAAGGGACTGTAAGCTAAACCATAATGGTGAACGGTTGAGGGGACTAAAATTGTGTAGCCTAAAAAAGAGAAACTTTAGGGGTGACATGACCGCCATCTTCCAGAACTTGAGGGCCTGTCACAGGGAAGAGGAGATCAACTTATTTGCCAAAGCTCCTGAGGGCAGGACAAGAAGTAAAGGATGGAAGCTTATCAAAGAGAGATCCAATCTGGAATTAAGTTGACATTTCCTGATAATAAGAACAATTAACCAATGGGATAACTTTGTTTGTTTTTTATACTTGCACGGTACTCTTCACTTAGAGGTGACTCTGGGCCGCTTATAAACAATCTTATCTCTAAGAAACTTGGGTGCTCCATCACTGGACAACTGTAAGATTGGAACGCCATTTGTCCAGGATGGAATAAGTTCTCCTGCCTTGGAAGGGGTTGGACTAGAAGACCTCTGAGGTCCCTTCTATGATTCTAAGTTCTGGAAACCTCTTTCTTTCCTGTCCTTTTTAAATTAAAAACTTTTTCTAGGGTGTTCTGGAGGAAAACAGTTTCTTTTTTAAAAAACTATTGCCTTCTACCAGAGGACAGAAGACGCTTCAGTGAACAGCACTGAAATGCACTGAAGCACAAGATGGATTTACTTGTTTTCTAGATATAACAGGTGGTATCATTGCTTGATTTGACATTTAGTTGTTTGGCTAAACAACTTGGCTAGTTGTTTAAAGAAGCTGCCAGAAATAGGCATTATTGGTCAGGACAATTTAATTTTAGTGGATCTCTTTTATATCAAGACATCTAAGAAAATTGGCGTAAGGTCATTGCTTAATTAAATCATCACTTAAAATAAGGACCAAATATTCTTAAATCTCGCCCAAAGGACATTTTCCCCTTCTTTTGACCACCATTCCTAAAACTGTCAATCAAAGGAAAATTGTAGGGGAAACGAGCTTAAGGATCTGTGCAGCTTTTTTAACACCTAACATTGGTTTTTCCCTTGGGGACCCAAAGTTTAATTCTCGCTCCCTCTTTCCCCTTCTTGCCCTCTTCTCTCTGGGACTGCAGGAAAAGAGAAAACGCCAAACGGAGATTGAAAACAAACGGCGACAGTTAGAAGATGACAGGCGCCAGTTACAGCACTTAAAGGTATTTGAGGGGGTTCCAAGCTCCTAATTTGCTCTTTCGAAAAAGAAATTCATTATTTATTTATTTTTTATTTGTATCCTCCTCCTATTTGCCCCACAATACCAGCCATTGAGGTGATTTGGGCTGAGAATGTGTGACTGGACTGATGTCCCCCAGCTGGCTTTCGTGACTAAGTTGGGACTAGAACTCTCAGTCTTCTGGTGATTGGCCCAAAATCACCCAGCTGGTTTCCATGGCTACAGCGGGACTAGAACTCACAGTTTCCCACTTTTTAGCCAGGTAGAGAATTTTGGACGAAGGAAAAGTGTGCTGTGAGCCACACAATCATAAATGCATATGAATCCATTACCCAAATGGAATAATGGGTGTCCTCGGCAACCACTTGTGGAGAAGTGGAGGAAATTCAAGTGATTCGGTACCATCAGGTTGTTACTGACTTTTAGTAACAGCATAGATATTTTCCAGGATGTTCTTTCCTCAACCGGGTCTTGTAATGAAATCTAGCAAAAAGATTATTCCTGCATGCTTAAAAGGCAAAATGTAAAAGTTATTGTAAATTTCTAAAATATAAATCAGAAAAGGCTATTAATTACTATTGCCTTCACATTTCTTCTGGTCACATGATTAATTCATCATAAATATTTATTATTGTGGCTTGTTAGGATTTTATCTATTTTTATTGGTTGCTTCATTTATTGTTGTGCATTGCCCAGAGTGTCCTGGGGAGGGGAGATAGACAGCTGTATAAATTTCATTAATATATTTTTTGATAAATAAATAACTGAACCTAGGGTTCTAGGGTTCATACAGGCCATTTCATCCTACACCCCAGGCAAAGGACCGAGTTTGCATTACGCTGAGCTGCACAACCTCCCACAAAAGATTAATATTAGCTGAGTTTAGCCTATTGTGCAAAGGCATTGCTAGGTCTTTCTCTGTCCTGATTAAGCCTGTGAGCCACCACAGCTATCAGGTTATGCAACAGAACAACACTGGGGGAGGGGTGCATATAAGGAATCTAATAGAAGCGAATACAGGTATTCCTCAGCTTACGACCACAATTGAGCCCAAAATTTCTGTTGCTAAGTGAGACACTTGTTAAGTGAATTTTGCCCCCATTTTACGGCTTTTCATGCCAGACTTATTAAGTGAGTCACTACAATTGTTAAGTTAGTAACATAGTTGTTAAGTGAATCTGGCTTCCCCATTGACTTTGCTTGTCAGAAGGTCACAAAATGATCCCAAAAAGGTCACATGACACCTCTTCCCCCCCAAGACGACTCAGTTGCCAAGCTTCTGAATGTTGATCACGTAACCCTGGGGATATCGCAACGGTTGTAAGTGTGAAAAACAGTCGTAAGTCACTTTTTTCAATGCCATTGTAACTTTGAATGGTTACTAAATGAGCTGTTGTAGGTCAAGGACTACCTGTTTAATGTAGCTTTGGGTTGCAGAGTCCTTGGTGCTCCTCACAGCCTCAAGGTCAGTGAGCACCAAGGACTCCATAATAAGGAATCCCTTCTCCTTTTTTCTTTCTGTTGTCTTCAAGTCAAAGGCCCTGCGAGAGAGATGGCTGCTGGAAGGAGCTCCATCATCCACAGCTGAAGAGGGTGAAGCCACAAAGAAGCTGATGGAGGAGGACAACTTGAAGGCCAAGGAACTGGAAGAGAACATCCAGAGGTAATGGCAGCCTTCTCCAAACCATGAATTTGGGCCAGGCTTCCCAAAAGATGTAAGTTTAGCTGAAGATAGCCAGCAGTTACTACACACCTTGAGGATGGCAGGTTGAGAGAAATTGGTACATATTAAGGTGGAACCTTAACAGGGAAAGTTCCTAAAAAACCTTTCCAAGTGATGGAAGTGATCTAGAGCAGGGGTGTCAAACTCGCGCCATCATGGCATTGTCACGTGACTTATCGTGACTTTTTCCCCCTTTGCTAAATAGGGCATGGGTGTGGCCAGCTCATGACGCATCTGGCTCATGGGCTGCGAGTTTGATAGCCTTGCTCTAGACGATTGGACTGGATGATCTTTGAGTTCCGCTTCCAACTCCACAGTGCTTCTATGCTGTGCATTTAACTGGACAGCATGTTGATCTAGTGGTAGGATTCAAATTTTTTTACCACTGGTTCTGTGAGCGGGGCTTGGTGGGTGTGGCTTTGTGGGCGTGGCAGGGGAAGGATAATTGCAAAATCCCCTTTCCCTCCCCACCCCACTAACCTGCTTTCCAGCTCTGGTGGTATTGGCCGGTTCTCCGAACTACTCAAAATTTCCACTACTGGTTCTCCAGAACTGGCCAGAACCTGCTGAATTCCACCTCTGCATTGATCCAATGAGATGAGCCATAAGTCTAAATCTGGCTGGAACAGTAACCTTGGCAAGATCGGAAAGGGAGTCTCCGCCTGGAGGGCTGTTAGTGGCCCATGATATTTTCCTGTCTAGCCCCGCCGGTCTTCTCTTCTCATATCCTGCTCCCACTCCTGGACCCACTCCTTCCATGGCCTCCATCCCTAATTGCTCAGCTGTTTCCTACTGTTTCACTAGGACGGTAGCGCATAGCCAGGACAGGGTGGGGTGGAGGAGACTGGAATGGGGCTGGGGACAGTTTGGAGGGAAGCGAATCACCAAGATGATGAAACTCGCTTAGCAAAATGAATGGATGAGAAGCAAAAGGACTTCAAGGAAAAACAAAGAAAGTCGATTGAAAAAGCACCTTTGGGACAATCGTGCCTGGATGACTGGGAATCTCCATAGTCACTTAGAAAAAGTTGAGAGGCCACCAGACAAAACTAATCAGAATACTTCAATATATTCCTGTATAGATATTATTATACATAATTACCGGTAGTCCTTGACTTACAGCAGTTCCCTTAGTGACTGTCCAAAGTTACAATGGCACAGAAAAAAGTGACCTATTATGACCATTTTTTCACACTTATGACTGTTGCACCATCCCCGTGTCATGTGATTTACATTCAGATGCCTGACAACTGACTCACATTTATGATGGTTGCAGTGTCCCAGAGGGTCATGTGATTCCCTTTTGCAACCTTCTGACAAGCAAAGTCAATGGGAAAACCAGATTCACTTAACATCCGTGTTACCAATTTAACAACTGCAGTGATTCACTTAACAAATACGGCGAGAGGAGTTGTAAAATGGGGCAAAACTCACTTAACAAATGTCTCACTTAGCGACATCAATTTTGGGCACAATTATGGTCATAAGTTGAGGACAACCTGTATTACACAGTATATCCCACCAAATGTATATCCTAGTACCGTGATGGCGAACCTATGGCATGAGTGCCAAAGGTGGTACGCAGACTCATTTGTGCTGGCAGGCAAGCTGCAGGCAAACTTACCTCACTGGGCATGTGCGCACTTCACAGCTGATTTTGGGCTGGTTTGAGGCCTTTTTTGGCCTCCCAAAAGCTTGAGGAAGGCTTCTGCAGGCTTTGCAGGCCGAAAATTAGCCCCGTTTTGTCACTTCCTGTTTTTTCCGAAAATACTGGCAGTGATGAAGCAGAGCTAGTTTTCGGCCTGCAGCCTTTGGGAGGCCGAAAAAGGCCTTAAACCGTCCGAAAATCAGCTGTGAGGCACAGTGCAGGTAAGGGGGCAGCGGGGGTGGGTACTTGGGTGGGGATTACACACGCAGGCATACAAGCGCGCACACAATTTTTTGCACAGGAGCCCAAAAGGGTTTGTTACCACTGTCCTAGTAGTATATCCTACAGGTTGTTCTCGATTTACAACCATCTGTTTAGTGACTGAAGTTACAACAGCACTGAAAAAAGTGACTTAGGACCGTTTTTCACACTTATGACCATGGCAGCATCCCCGTGGTTTACTATTCTGCTCCTTCCCATTCTCAGTTTATTCAGTAAGATGCAACCAATTTCCCTTCTGTAAAATAGTTGTGCTGTCAAATTCTTCTTTCAATTGCAATAACCTTCTCTGCCTCCCGCCCTTGTTGTCTTCTTTTGGCTGCATCCTAACCTCCGAATTTGGAAGGCCAAAGAAAGGGGAGAATGGTGAGGATTCTTGGCATCCAAATAACACGCAGGAGAAACAGGGAGGGGTTGCATAAGTCGAGCCAATTCTTGCTTCCTGCCATTAGGTGGGTGTTAATTTGCAGTAACAGTGCCTAGCCCACTGCCCCTTCTTCTCCACTCTCCTTCGGACATTCTCCACACTCAGACCCATTAGAGCAGTTTCTCAAACTTGGCAACCTTTAAGATGTGTGGACTTTATTTAGCAACTGTGTTAACTAGCCTAACAACTGCTGTGATTCACTTAACAATTGTGGCAAACAAGGTCATAAAATGGGGCAAAACTAACTTAACAACTGTCTTGCTTAGCAACAGAACTTTTGAGCTCAACTGTGGTCATAAATCCTAGATTATCTGTATCACCCCTTCAACCTGTTATCCCAGCATTATTTTTCTTGTAAAATCTTTGTCCTCTCCACGGCTGGTTTTATTTAATGGTCTTTTAAGCAACTATTGCCTCTGTGCTGCCAAGTACAATGTTTTTCAAAATTGTGTTGCAATCAATTATACTCGTTAAGACATGATGCATTGCTACTTATGTAAGCAGGAGAAACTTTTAAAAAAATGCAGTGTGAAATTGGCTAAAAATGTTTCCTCAAGTTGAGCTCAACTTTTGGTGACTTCCTGAATATGTTGAGTTTTCTTTGAAGTAGCTATTTTCCACTGCCATATTCTGAGATGAATGATAATTTCTCAGTCTGGCCAAGATCCCAGGAAGTCCAGAATCAACACTGCTTAGATTTTTGGGAATATTTTTAGATGGCCAAGCTTACCAGCTGAGATGGAAAACCACCACACTGGGTTTTCTTATAAAACTGAATGTCCATGGAGATTCTCAGTCATCCAGGTCATGGTTGTCCCCAAAGTGCTTTTTCAACAGGTTGCCTGCCTCTTGAAAAAGCACCTTTGGGATTGATAATGCTGAATTGTGAAATTGAGTAGAGATTGGCTGAAGCATCAAGTGTGTGACAGGAAAGACAGGGTACATTTAATTTCTTGATACCCCCAAAGGTTAGCTGGCACACGTAGAGTTCTTTTTAAAAATAGCATGTGTGTAATGGACAGAAACAAAAAGTGACTTAACCTTTGCATATTTTCAGGAAAAAAATGAGCTAAACAATCAGATACATGAAAGCCTACAATTGCAGTGCAATTAGCAATGATAGGTGGTCTGTCCAGAGTTACTAACTGGCACTCATACTCACTTTATAAATACTTGATATTGTGCTACACAATTTAGCATGTGCCCACTAGCTAAGAGATTGCATTTTAACAACAACTTCCATCAGTGTAGATTTTGCCCAAGTCTACTTTAGAGAGCTTCTCTTACTGCAAATGCTGATATCTATTCAATGCCCATTGGAAGTTTTGGAAGTTTTCATTCAAACAGGCATATCACTTGCTCTAATCATGTACGTAGATTAGCATGTTGGACTTAAAAGACTGATAATATCTGAGATTAAACATCTGCTTATCTGCAAAACTTGCTGAGAAGATTTAACAACCCAAACTACATCACTAAGTTGTTGCAAAAGATGAAAAACAAGATTTCTGGCATCCCAATTGCTCCCTTTGGCAGGAGACTGAGATGAAATGTGACATTAATGAATTTTGCATTTCTCATATTATTTATTTTATTGTGCTTCAGTTTTGCCAGTGTGGTCCTTAGGGATGTATTAGCATTACATATAAAACCAAGTAGGAAGTCAATCCTAGAAAACAGGCAAAATAAACAAACTAAAACATACTAAAGTGAAAAGCCCTCCAATCTTAAAGTAGAATGTAATCACATGTAGCATAGCAACAGTCTAGATCAGCCTTCTTCCCAAAATGACAACTCACTTGAGTTTCACCCAATAGTTATACTGGCTAAGGAAGATGTAATCTAGCTGATATGGGCAGACAAACCTTGTTTTCTTAAATCCATTGATTTGGCCTGATTATTTTTGCTGTTGAGGAAACTCCACATGATGGGTCCCACAAAGAATAAGCATCTGTGCTGGTGGTCACTACTCATGAATTAAAAAACTCAAAAAATCAGTGAAGTTGGAGCAGGAATGGAAGAATTTAGGCAAGGGCCAGGCTATCAAATTATTATTTGCCTGAGACCTCTGATTTAATTCCTTATTTCTGCAGACTTAGTAGAACATACTGGAAACAGGAAGAATAACTACAATTTAGGTGGCAAATGTAGCACTCAGGGGAGAAGTTGGATTATTAGAGCTAAATGGTGTAGCTGAAAAAGAACTGCAACTTAGCTTACAACAGGGGTGTCAAACTGGTGGCCCATGGGCCGCATGCGTCACACATAGGCCACACCCATCCCAGCCCTGCGAATGGAAAAACGTCATGAAATGTCACATGACATTAACGTGACATGGCGAGATTGACACCCCTGGGTTACAATATAGTATGTTGAATTAAATTTGAGAAATGATTGCTTGTTTAGAGGGCTCTGGCAAGTCAGTTTTTTAATCCCGAAGAAAGAAAGTTATATCACACGATGCACACATCTAGGTGGCAAACCAGGATATCTACTTCTGGAATTAGTATTCCAGTTCTGCAGGCTGTAAACAATGTTCAATAATTCATGTCCCTTCCTGGTCTAGGTTGGAGAAAGAATTGGAACAACTGGAAAATGGCATCTCGGCATCTTCCACCAAAGAGAACATGGCTGAGGAAACAACCAGAGTGGTGGTCAAGGAAGAGAAGCTACCCCACACGCCGAAGGTTAGAACCTGCTTCTTTCTCTCAGTGCGGTCTCCACACAGGGTTGTTGTGAGGATGGAACCAAAGACCCTCCCTACCATGTCCATATTAGTAGTTCACTGAAGAGAGCTTAGCGGGCAAATCTGATTGCTAGATGTAAGCCAGACTCCAATTATAACTAAAGCTAGACTCCCAACTTCTCCTTCTGGTTTGGTTCATGGATACAGGATTTGCTTAACCCATCATGCAATGCCATCCAGTGAGAACTGACTCGGTTCTCATGTTTCTGAAAGGTTTTATTAAAACTGAAGGCAACTGAGGCTGTGTAATAGGGAAGCCTTTAAAAGCTTTTGCATGTATCCAGAATGCTACGCATGCAGCTTTGACGCAGATAAATGTGCAAAGAAACATCTCTTTTTCTTGTTCTATTTTGGTAACCTACCTATGTCTCTTCTTCCCACAGACTTCTCTAGGCTCAGCCAAAGGTAGGTGCCAACACAGATCGCACCTGCTGCCTTTTTAAAGAAAAAAAAAGTATTGAAGTTGGATTTGAGAAATAGTAATTAGCAGTTCAGGATTATCTGCAGGGGGTAGGCATGATATACATAACATAGGAACAGTCAGGGGTGGGATTCAATTTTTTTAACAACTGGTTCTGTGGCCGTGGCTTAGTTGGTGGGCATGGCTTGGTGGTCATGTGACTGGCTGGGTGTGGCCAACTCAACATCGCTCACATTGAGGGACACATCTCCTCACCTGGCCTTTCATGACTGTGGGGATGCTGCAACAGTCGTAAGCGTGAAAAATGGTCTCAAGTCACTTTTCGGTGCCATTGTAACTTTGAATGGTCACTCCACACAAGCAAAGTACCAGCAAAGGAGGGGAAAAAAACTCCAGAGAAGTTCCTGAGACAGGAAGTCTAGTCCTGCCAAGAATGTAATAAGGGTTAACGGAGAGGCAGTTTCTGTAAGCATCACCAGAATGGTTCCTTCCTGCCTTCCTTACAGGATTAGGCCAATAATTTCTTCTAACATCCGGTTCTCCGAACTGCTTAGAATGTTAACAACGGGTTCTAGCGAATAGGTGCGAATTAGTAGAATCCCACCCCTGGGGACAGTGCTTCAATTGTGTGATTATGATATTTCACTTTTTTGAGCCCACTGCCCCACATAGAAGATGTTCCTATATAAGAGCTGCCTTTTCTTGCCTACACAAGAAATTGTTTTATTTTATTATTTATTTATTTATTTTTGTCAATTGCATACAAGATAAGAGTTATTATTAATAGCCCGAGATAATAGTCCTGCACAAAATAATTGTGCAGGAATCAATCAGAAATTCACTCCTTTTAAAATTAACCCATCATCGTCATCTTCATCATCATCATTACCATCATCAGTGGTGGGATTCAAAATTTTTTACTACTGGTTCTGTGAATTTTAAAATGCTGCCCCCAATCCCTTCCCCCTTTTTATGGAGGGTATTTGATTGCCCTTCTCAAATTAAATGTCCTGCTGGTGAATTGTTGTTTATATACCGTAACATGTTAGGTTATGGTATGGTTGAGTAGTTTGTAGTTTGGTATGTAACATGATTCCAGGCAATTGGGTTGGTGTACAGATAGGCCTCCACCTACGATCACAGTGGAGCTTGGAATTTTGGTTGTAAGTCATTGAGGTCACAACTCAAGGCACCACATGACCGAACTTGATTTTACCACCATTTTGATCACAGGTGGGCTGGGAGAATTCTGGGAACTGAAGTCTTAAAGTCACTGAGGTGGAGGAGCATTGATTTAAATTTTTTCTAGAAGTCAAAGCTTCGAATGATAAGAAACATTGAAGCTTTTGCCAATGCAAAGAGCAGAGAAACACAGGTAGTCCTTGACTTACGACCACAATTGAGCCCCACATTTCTGTTATTAAGTGAGACATTTGTTAAGTGAATTTTGTCATTTTACGACCTACCTTGCCACAGTTGTTAAGTGAATCGTGGCAATGGTTAAATTAGTGACAGGATAGTTAAGTGAATCTGGCTTTCCCATTGATGTTGCTTGTCAAGAAGGCGGCAAAAGAAGACACTGCAGCTGTCATGAATATGAGTCATAAGTTACATTTTTCAAGATCGTCGGAACTTTGAACCACCACTAAATGAACTTTTGTAAGTTGAGGACTACCTGTAACTACCCACCCGTCTTAGTTGCATTTGATTGTGATTCTGGAATGGGGACACTGGCAAAAACAATAAACCACAGAATGACACTTTTGATTGGGGCAAAACTTTAAGAGTTTCAGGGTTATTTAATGTTTTGTTTATTTATTAATTAATTAAAGTTATATGTTTGTTTTGTTTATGTATTGATTGATTAAAGTTATCTATCTCCTGACTACAATAACTGGGCAGTTGACAGTAAAAAAAAATAGGAAAAACAATGAAAAAAAAATAGAGTAACAGACAAGAATAAAAGGTGGCAAAAAGAACAAAACAAGGCAGGAACAGAAATGAAAGAAATTTACACAACCCAAAGGGGATTTCAATCACCTTCACCAAATGCCTGAGCAAAAAGCCAGGGCTTTAGCCTGCTGTGTGATCTCAGTCTTTATAAAACATTGGTTTACGGTTTGCATAATGCGCAAACCCAACTAATTGTGGCTTAGTTGATAAACAATAATTGAATGAGCCATGGCTTAGTGCAGGGGTTTCCAAACTTGGGAACTTTTAAGACTGGTGGATTTCAACTCCCAGAATTCCCCAACCAGCTAATTCTGGGAGTTGAAGTCTTAAAATTGCCAAGTTTGGAGTCCTCTGGCTTACTGCAAAGAATGAACCCTCGCGTACATCATTATTTAATTTATTGTTTATTTATTAATTAAATTTATATGCCACTATCTCCCTGAAAAGTGATTCTGGGCCATCTTCATAGTTGCCCATTCTTGATTTGTTAAGGATGCCAAAATGATGAAATGGGCATTACAACCGTCTCCTTCCCACCCAATTTCTCAGAAAAATCTAAACTTCAGGATCTTTGGGAGGATAACATGAGGGAGAAGGGACAATTATGCCCGTTAATGTTCTCTCCATGGAGGAGGTGGGACAGAAATGACAGAAATAAACTTTTATTGGAGGGGAAAAAAAGGTGTGGATAGGAGAGGATGCCGAGCCGGAAAGAGATCTGGGGAAGGCAATTGTGTTTGACCTTTCAAGTTTTTCCTTTTTTTCCCCCTTCCTGAAGCAGACAACAAAGTCTCCAACAGTCCCATAAAAGTGGTGGAAGGCAAAGGCAGCGGCTTGATGAAAGCAGGTAGGTTCAGTCCTGATGTCTTGGCTCAGACCTGGGAACTTCTTCGGGTCTCACTTCCCATGCACACCCCGGCCACACTGGGCTGGCCCTAACTGCATGCTGCTTTGCCTGCTTTCGCCAAGAAAGAACTTAGTGGAGGAAACTCTGTCTCAAGGCGTTGGTAGTTTGTTCCTTTGCAAAGCCAGAGGAGATGTCTCATCCTTGCTACATTACGTTGCTTGATGCTTGCCTCTATCTATCTATCTCTGTCTATAACGATAGATAGATAGATAGATAGATAGATAGATAGATAGATAGATAGAT